TGCTGATATTGTCTCGGTTTCAGTTCCATGTGAAGCAATGCAATGCAGTTCTAGACCCAAGAGTAACCCAGGCATAAAAAGGACGCCCTTTTTGGTTTAAAGGGGCTTATAAGGGAACCTGAACCCTAAAAAAGGGAATAAGGGCCTACTCTGGGTCCTAGAGTTTAAAGCCTGAAGCTGAAGCCAACATCGGCACCTCCGCCCTTGTTTGGGAATCTGCTCTTTCTCACTGCCGTACGCCGTGCTTACACGTGGGCGGCTGTTGAGAAGACATCAGTGCCGGAATTGCTAGTCAACATCCCGGAGCTTCGGTTATGAATTCGGCCAGAATGCTACAGTAAACGTCAGATGTCTGCTTCCTGGTCCACAGCTTTCCGATCCGTCTGTCGCGTAGCGTTCGTCATGGAAACTGCGTGGCCGCAGGGCCAATTGGCCTCCACTGGGTCCGGCCTTCTGTGGGGCTGACTGCAGATGGCCATGGCCCCCAAAGCCATGTCTTCCAGGACGCATCTTTGCAGGGCATTACAGCTCCGTGGCCTCATCGAATGATGCAACCGTTTCGATCGAATGATGGGCCAGAGGATAAGTGCGTGATGATTCGTCCCCCTGCACAGCGCGCAGTACGCAGCGGGTGGAATGCATTCGCCTGGATCGAGCCAGCACACTGCTCTGAGTGCACTGCCTTGTCCACTGCGACCATGCAAAGCGTCCCAGACATATGACAAGACGACACCACCATCGTTCGGGACCGAGGATGTCGTCGCACGGTCGTGGTTTCGCTCCGCTGTTATGCTTTCACGCGCCGATGAGCATACCGGACGTCGACGCCGACGCGACCTGAACACCAAAGCCGCAAACCCAGAGCCCGAAACTCAGCTGCCGCAAACTGCAACACACAAGCAGGCAATCTCTACAGGTGTTGTTGAAACGAACACAGAAAGCCAATTCATAATCCATGCAAAGCAAAATGCTACTTTGAAGGTCCATGAACCCATAATATATAGTCTGTGCTGAGACCTTGAAGCTTTTCTATGTGCAAAGTATATGCGAAATCGACACATATGGACCTGCATTATTGAAAACCGTTATACCACCCTTCGAGGGCCCTTCTAGAACCGCTACGGAACCCTGATCAGCACGCGCACCCTTAACGTTCTTTCTCCTTCGCACCGAGGTCGATGCTAGAGCACATGCTGCGCCAGCCCATTTCCCAGCCTGGGGCGATGGGGTTAGGAATTAGACTTGATGGTTTCATGACTGTACCTATAGTCTCCATTGTAGTTCCTTTTTGGGGGTTATTATAGGATCCTACTTATATATATATATATACATATATATACATATATATATATATATACGGTTAAAGCAAAAAAGGGAACTACAATGGAGACTATAGGTAAAGCCCAGATCGAAAACTGGGAGCTAAAAGTGAGTGCTACTTACTCAGGCATCCATATATTAATTACGCAGTCACTTCGTCCTGATAACGGGATGCTTGGGTTGCAACAAGGAGCAGTTGGCGGGCTTGGGTGAGGTGTGAAAGACTTCAAGCGTTCAATAAACATATTCTTACTCTTATTGCTGTTAAGGGATTAGGGATTAAGGATTATGGACTTATGGATTAATGATTAATGACTTTAAGGCAAGAAAAGGGATTATCATATAGGATTACTACTCTTAAGCTCCCTTGAGTCGCGGTTAGGTGTCATGAAGCTTCAGCTTGGAGGTTGGGGCTCTAGCTCTGAATTAATCGGCTTTGGATCCTTAGAATCGGAATATCTAAACCCTACCCTAAGGCTCCACAGTAGTTCCTTTTTGGGGGTTCATATTTAGAATCCTAGAAGGTATTCCCAAAAGGAACTACTATGGAGCCTTTGGGTAAACCCTTAACCCAAACCCCTAAACCGCAATGGACGCTCAACAAAGCAGCCGAGGTATCTTGTTTAGGGCTTCGTTAGTATGGCTCGCAGTGTCATTCGGCTACTAGGGTCCGAAATTTCGGAGAACTACGAGAATACCCATGCCCTGCACTTACCACACCCTAAACCCTAAATCCTAAACCCGAGTACCAGAGAACATGTTACTAAGGGCCCGGCACGCTTCATCGGTGCATGTCTTACGATCTCACCGCGAGCCGAGCATGGCTGTGAGAACGTTTAGGGTTTAGGGTTCAGGGTTTAGGGTTCCGGGTTTAGGGTTCCGGGTTTAGGGTTCCGGGTTTAGGGTTTAGGGTTCCAGGTTTAGGGTTCCCCCAAACTTTAAAATATGAGCTAAACCATCAAGTACAAACCCTAAGCCCATGAAGCCAACATCTCTCTTGACAGATAAGCCAAGGCCCGAAATCATGCTGATCCACTTCTCAGACTCACCATTTTGAGTTTCCCTGTACCTTTGCCATAGTTCCGGGTTTAGGGGCTAGGGCCGTGAGGGCTTAGGGCTTCAAGTATAGTAGATACTTAGGCCTTCAATGGGTTCCTATACAGGTGCTTTGGGGCCAATGTATATCCGATATAAGTACATGTTCCCTCGGGGCAGCCTCATCAGTCTTCACTCCTGCGCTGAAACCACACGTCAACTTCTGGAGGGCTCTCAGACCTGCACCCGCAACGCTAACACCTGAAAGCCAAGTTCCTGCCTTAATGTGCTTCTCCTTATATATCACATGTACCGCTGATAAGACCTGTACTAAGAAGCACTAATGACATGCCCGGTGGACCTGGCTCGTTGTTTTGTCTAGCCAATCCATGATGCCTCTGCACACTGCTCAGTGTTGGTGGCTATGCGGATCCCAAACTGCTTTTAGCATCTGCACTTGAGAGTTTAGGGTGTCGGCTTTCCCAAGGCTCCATGTACCCGCACAGTATGTACTTAGGCCTTCAGGTGCCCAATGTTGGGACCCCGTTAAGGCTTCAGTATCTGCTATAAAGGTACATGGAGCCTTTGGGTTTAGGACTCGGGATTTACAGGGCTTTAGGGTTTCGAGCTACTTCGGGTCTGGGGCTGTAGGGTTACAGGATTTTAGAGTTTACTGGCCATAGGCCGTAATGATAATAGGGTGAGGGTAAGATTATACGGATTTCGGGTTTAGGGGTTTCGGTAGGGGTATACCCTAAACTACCAAACTCTACTTTTTTGTATGTTCTCATGATAAACCCTGATATGGAAATCTAGGATGGACTCTACGAGGTTAAGGTAAGGGTTTCAGGTTTAGGGGTTTAGTGACAGCTCCCTTCGCAGCAGAGGAGTTCGGAGGCTAGGAAGCTGAAACATGTCGGGAGTCCATCGCTGCAGTGCTTGCAAAGCTTGCGCTCTCCATTCGGGTGGTTATCAAAAATATGCTCCCTTTTTGGGTTCTTAATATCATACGGCACCTAATATTTAGGGTACCCCAAAAAGGAACCCAAATTTTGACAACTACCCATTCGACTAAAGCTCGCCATTGGGATCTCAGACACTGTGCGATGATGATGGGCCGCCAGCACTACGACCTACTTGGAGGCCCAGGGAACTTAGTAAGTAGGTTATAAGCAGGGTTATAATTGGGGTAACTCCATTTAAAGTATTTATAACTCTATGTATAACCTACTTACTAAGTCCCCCGGGCCTCTAAGTATACGTAGACCGTAGAGCGCCAGAACCCCGACCCTGACGACGCCCTGAACACCCAAAAACCTGCAAGTCTGCAGGTCAATATTCCTACTCCAGAACACTACAACACTCTTCATGTAGGTTTTTTGGATAAGATACAAGCTTTAGTGTTTAGGGCTTTCAAGCCCCACTTCGTCCTTGCCTTGGGATCCGGAGCTGCAACAAGCTGGTGACAACGGCGTCTGAGAACGCTGAAGCACTTTCGTCAAGGGCAGGGTTTAGGGTTCAGGGCCTCCCAGTGATTGATGCTGCAAAAGGCTTAGGGTGTAGGGTCCAGGGTTCAGGCTGTAGCATTAATTTTTAGGGTGTAGGGTTTAGGAATCAGGGTGTAGCATTTAAGTAGAGGTTTAAGGTTTGGGGTTTAGAATTAACGGTTCTGAACGTTTCAGCGAGTTTCACCGTTTAGGTTGCTTTTGCAAAGTGCGGTGAGCCAAGGTCCGTTGCGGGCACACGCTGGTAAAAGAAGGCTTTGTGATAGATACTCAAAAAGTAAGATCCTCCTGTGCCAAACAAGGGAACAAATGACATGTCCAGAAGTCCTGCCCAGTGTTTGTACTTTTTCAACAACGACGCTAGATCGGCAAGGTGTCGCAGTATCGGAGTCTGAGAAAAATTTCCAAGGTGCGCCATAAACCCTAAACCCTAAACCCTAAAATGAAAAGGCTACCGGGCGACAACAATGCACAACATGTTCATGCCCCACTAAGGCTCCTATGAGGGTTCCTATAAGGATTCCTTTAAGGCTTCCTCTATGGGTTTCTATAAACGCTCCTCAAAGGGCCCTCGAGCCCTGCCCCTTCATTCAAAGGCTCCAGTCTCCCATTACCGAGAGCTGTGTGGAGGGGTGAGACGCATACGTTACTCGACTCGATAGAGTTGTCTGCGTTCCCCGAAGAGAACCTTAAAAGGGCGACCCGATTTTAGTAACCCTTAAAGTGCCCAAGAGATCCCTGGAGGGGACCCTTAAGTGTCCGATTGTACCTAATAGCTATAGATTCTCCCAGACACTAAACTACAAAACTGCTTCCTAAACCCAGCTACTGTTTGACCGCTTTAGGGTTTAGGGTTCTACATAAGATGAAAGCTTTCGGCTGAAGGATGGCTGTCTACCGGGCCGGGACCCTGGTTCGGGTGTGGAGAACTATATACTTCGACAACAATGCTAAACCCTAAACTCTAGACCCCGGCACCCTACACTAAGGCCGTATAGTAGTTTCTTCGTGTGGCTCATATCTAGAATCCTATAAGGTAATCCCAACAAGGAACTACTAAGGGCCTAAACCCTAAACCCTAAACCCTAAACCCCTTGACAACACCATCGGCAGTCGTGATTTGTGAGACCTGTACCTGCGCTAAACGGAACAACTGACAAGGCGATGGGACCTCAGTGCAACGTAGCATAAATCCTAGGGCTCCTTTAAAGGGATCCTACTATTTGCTTAAGAACCCCCCCCCCAAAAAAAAAATAATACTCCCTATAATACCCCCATAAGGAATATATTTCTTATTTTTTGGGGCTTCTTAAGCAAAAAAGTAGGATCCATAAGGGTACCTCTAAGGGCTCCTTTAAGGGATCTATAGGGGGTTTAGGGTTTAGGGTTGATGGTCTAAATCTTGCACTACCCTAAGGACCCTACACTATGGGAATAATGGTGTACTCCTTACTATGGGTAATGCAGGATTTATATCATCAACCGTAGGGACCCTTAGGGGGGTAGGGGGAGGGTTGGGTAAGGGGCCTTGACGCCCATAATAAGGACCTAGTAACGCGTATTTAAAGAAGTATAGTAAGTATAGTCCCCTGCCCCCCCTAAGGGTCCCTATGATACATTGTCCGTTTCAAGCGTCCTACCCTAAGAACTCCAGTTGTACAAGCAGTGACCACTTTGGTGTCTAAAGTCTTACCCTAAACCCCTCCGTAAATTCTATCTACCTAAAGTCTCCATTGTAGTTCCATTTTTTGGTTAACCAAAATCTCTATTATAGGATCCTAACCATAAAACTGGTTAACCAAAAAAGGAACTACGATGGAAACTATAGGTACCTCGGACTGTTGGGAGCTTCCGGTTGATGATATAAATCCTGCATTACCTATAGTAAGCAATATACCATAATTCCTATAGTTTAGGGTCCTTAAGGCAGTGCAGGATTTTTATCATCAACTGTTCCGGGTTATGGATCAGATCGAGGTTCGAATGTTGGATGGGGTTTCGCTGGGATTCATCTACCAGGTTCCTGAGTAGCCCCGTTATAATGTGGGGTACCCTTTGTCCTACTAATTACCCAGAGTTCCTTAAATCATATTAGGGATCCTACTATAATTTAAGGTATATTCCTTAATTAAGGGATATTGGAGTCCTTGGGTACTCAGTTTTCAGAGGGGGACCCTAGAATAATAAAGAAAAAAGGGGACTGATTACTCAGGAACCTAGGAGACACAGCAGATTGCGCTTCAAACGACACCGACGCTCGCGAGATTCTTCTTATGGATGCCCTTTACAGTGACCCTGATGCCACCCTTCTTGTAAAGCTTAATTCACTCGGGTTTGGCGCCCATGTTTACATACATCTATATAATCTGCATATCTCTCTCTATATATATATATATAGACATATGGAGGGAGAGAGAGAGAGAGAGAGAGAGAGAGAGTGCGTGTCGTTTTTGCCATAACACGAACAAGATACAGAACTTGCCATGCAAGTCGCGAGGTAAGAAACCGGTTTACTGGCTGCAGGGCGTGGACAAGTATTTTGGTTCATGTATGCATCTCGTGTATACTTAGATACAGAAGCTCCTTTATTGGTGCATTAGGCTCAAAGTATATATTTCACGTGTCCCCACATGGACTTGTGTTTGGGGTTGGGGTTGTGAAGTTTGCAGGGCTTAGTGGTTTCGGGCAGTGGCTCCGGTTTTCGGGAATCAATCCCAACAAAATGCCGGAAGGAAACTAAGAAAGACCTGCCTTGGAAACCTGCAAACGTCAATCAGAAACATTACCAGGACCCTATAAAGCACCTACCTTTTTGAGGGTTCTTTATTATGATTTCCATATATAAGTCCTTAAAGCGGTAGGTTTGTCAGAGTCAAGGTAAGGTCTGCATAGAGTTCGAGATCTTAGGGGCTTAGTGCTTTCGGGTTGACACTGGCGGGACTTACTTGTCGTCTCCATTGCAGCTCCTTTTTGGGGTTACCTTTTAGGATCCTAATTCTATAACCGTTGAAAAAAAAGGAACTACAATGGAGACTCTACAGGTAGACTTCAGGAGGTTAAAATCACAAGGCAATAGGGTAGGGGAACGCGGCCCTCACAAGGTCTTTAGTGTGGACTAAACCCTTCATCCAGAAAACAATTTCGCCGAGAGCCCTTATCCCGCCAAGACCTCGGCCCTAGCCCCAGCCCCCAACTCCAAACCTCTAACAGAGGGGCTTTCATCGTCACCATAGGGGCTTGTGGTATACTATAGTTGGTGTAATACGGGAACTAGAAGGGGTTACGTTGGCAAAATATTGCAATATCTTCTGATCACCAAATTATTTACCTTTGGTTAGTAGGGAATGGACGAATGGTAGTAGTAGTAGTAGTAGTAGTAGTAGTAGTAGTAGTAGTAGTAGTAGTAGTAGTAGTAGTAGTAGTAGTAGTTTTAGTAGTAGTAATAGTAGTAGTAGTAGTTGTTGCTGTTATAACTGTAATTACCCCGTTCCTCCATTCCCTACTAACCAAAGGTAAGATTAGGAATCATCCGCTGAGGCATCCAGCGCTGAGAGGCCGGGGAGGCCGTCGACGCCGAGGTCCGGGATGAATAACTGAGGGTTGAGTTTAGGATTTGGGTTTAGGGTTTAGGGTTTAGGGTTTAGGGTTTAGGGTTTAGGGTTTAGGGTTTAGGGTTTAGGGTTTAGGGTTGGTCTTAGGGTTTATCAGGACCCTAAAGAACCTACCTTTTGAGGGTCCCTTATGATTTCCATATATAAGTACTCAAAGAGGTAGGGTTGAGTTTAGGGTTTGGATTGGTCTTACTTACCTTTGGTTAGCAGGGAATGCAGGAATGGGGTACAATTACAACTACTATTACTACCCTTCTTCCATTCCCGACTAGCCAAAGGTAAGTTTAGGGTTTGGATTGGGCTCAGGGGTTTTGGGGTTGAAGGTTGAGGTGTTTCAACGGAGGGTTGCGGATTTGGTTGACAATTTATAAGGCTCTAGACTGTTCTCAATTTGTGGATTGAGGTTTGCAGCTTATGGCTCAGAAGTTTAGGGTGTTGTAACCCAAAAGTAACTAGCAGCACGGAGACGGAGGCTTATCAGCCGAAAAACGTTTCAGGCTTTCTGCTCTTTGGGCTTTTACAGAAATAGTTTAGGGCTTAGGGTCTAGGGATTTAGAGATTTAGGGTCTAATTAAGGGATTAGGTGTTTGTTGCCTTTTCTTGAGCTCCTGTTTACCAGAGGGTAGGCCCCAAGCCTGAACTCCCTAAATCATAGGGATCCTTAGGGGTGTAGGGGGAGGGGGGGTAGGGGGCCTTAAGGCCCATAATAAGGACTAATAAGGCCTATTTAAGGAAATATAGTCCCCTACACCCCTCCCCCCTACATCCCTAAGGATCCCTATGACTTAAAGAAACACGGCTAAGGCGGCCAAGCACAACAAATAGCCCCTACACCCCTAAGATACTCACCCACCTCTTGTTCTAATTCTTATGGCCCCTAGGCCCTAGATTATAACCCCTAGCTTAGAACCTGAAGCCACCCACATAAAGCCGAAAAACTGATAAACTCTGATAAACCCTGTTTTTTTCTCTTTAGGCTCCCGCATCCCACTTTAGAGCCCTGAAGCCGTGACCCTAAACCCTAAACCCTACACCCTAAACCGAGGAGGAGAGGACTGGCCTTCGACTCGGCACCCCAGGCAAGCTGCCTTGGATCGTGAATATAGCTTAAATCAGAGTATGAATCCCTATATACTTTAAGCCATATTCCTTAATTAAGGGGTATTGGGCTCTCTGGGCTTGGATGGTGAGATGCGCTCCTTCCGTGCTGTTACTATTCTTCATCTCTGATAAGTGTTCGTTGGAATGAATGTTACTGCATGATTCCCATTGGTAGTAGTGGTCGTCGTCGTAAAAAGATTTACAGCAGTATTGGCGGCTTTACATGTTTCTGAATACTACCAATAGTACTGTTGTTTGTGTTGCTTTAAGATGCTGTCGTTGCTGCTACAAGTTTTGCTATTGTCACTGCTACTGTTACTGAATATGATCACATATTTCGTATTGTTGTTGCTGCTGTTGCTGTTGTCGTTGTTGCTGCTGTTGTTTGATGCTGTTGTTTGATGCTGTTGCTGCTGTTGCTGCTGCTGCTGCTGCTGCTGTTGGTGTAGCTGTTGCTGTTGGTGTTGGTGATGTTGTTGTTGCTGGTGATGGTGTTGGTGTAGCTGTTGTTATTGGTGCTGGTGTTGGGGTTATGGTTGCTCTTGTTGCCGTTGACGTGTGTGTTCTTGTTGGTGGTGGTGGTGCAGTCGTTGTTGCTGGTCGTCGTTTATCTGCCCCGTGGTGTTTGTCGTTGCTTGTGTTCTTGTTTGTTGGCTGGTATTTGCTGTGTGTGAGTGTGTGTTGTGTCGTGTTGATGTTGGTGTTGTTGTTGTTGTTGGTCATATGTGTTTTCGCATTACCGACAATCAAAGACTGGTATGATGCAAACTGAACCCACTTCTGTAACTTACTAGTACCACTACTACAACTACGACGACAACAACAACTGCTACTGCTACTACTTCTTCTACTACTTCTGACATTATTCTGGTTACTACTGCAAGTGCTTTTAGAGACATACATATCTCTATATATAGAGACAGAGACAGAGAGAAATGTGTGTATATACATACATATATGTATAGCTGTGTGTGTATTTATACTATCTTGGCTCGTCTGCCCACTACTATTGTTGTGATGCTTGCTATTGCTACTGTTGCTAGTATCAAAGTTAGTATTGTTACTATTGCTAATACTAATATCACTATTGCTCTATTGTTGCTATGCTACTGTTTTTATGATATGGGATTTTCCGAAAATAGGGGAGTCTAACATAGTAGTTACCCTGGATAGTAGCATCCCTAATTCAATCGCCCCAAAATCAGGTACCCCTAATTTTTGGAAACTCCCATATGGAGCATACCAGTTGACACATGCATTACAGTTGATGATATAAATCCTGCATTACCTTAAGGACCCGAAACTATGGGAATTATGATGTATTCATTATTATGGGTAATGCAGGATTTATATCCCTCAACCCTGAAACCCTAAAACCCTATAGAACCCTTAAAGGAGCCCCTTAAAGGTACCCTTTATAGATCCCTTTAAAGGAGTCCCAGGATTTATATCATCAACCGTATGCTTCTGCCGAGCAGCTTCGAGACTTCGCGCAAGGCATCCGTGGCACCTGATGTCCGTCGGCTCAGGGTTTGGAGTTTAGGGTTTAGGGTTTAGGGTTTTAGGGTTTAGTGTTTAGGGTTTAGGGTTTAAGGTTTAGGGTTTAGGGTTTAAGGTTCAGGGTTTAAGGTTTAGGGTTTAGGGTTTAGGGTTTTAGGGTTTAGGGGGTTTGGGGCATGCCACTGTGATAGAAATTCATTAAGGCCCCTATACTATAGAACCCTATAGACCTTCAAGGAATCGTTTAAAGGGAACCCTATTCTACTTGTTAAGGCCCCAATCTAGATTTCGAAGGACCAGCCATACACTCACATTAGGAATACAGCCCTTAACCCCAAACCTGACGCCCTGAACCCTATACAACTAGAGCCTTAAGTCCTGTATCCTGAACCCTATACACCGCAGAGCCCCTGAACCCGAAATCCTAGACTCCATACACCCGAAAAGAGCATCATGTAGAGGCCTTAATAATTAGAATAGGGTTTGGGGGCCCATTGTACTGTGAATATACGAATAAGGAACCCCCCCAAAATCGTATGTATGGGTAAAAAATTCAGGCCGCCATAGTAACCCTAAACCCTAAACCCTAAACCCTAAACCCTAGACCCTAAACCCTAAACCCTAAACCCTAAACCCTAAACCCTAACTATAGTAAGCCCCACAAGGCTCTGCCACTCTCAAAGGCAACGACGACCCAGTCAGGGCATGCGGATTAGCTTGGCTTGTTAATCTTTATCTTCCGGGGCTTTAGAAGGGCCTGCGAGAGTTCTGATTCTTGAGTTTCTATGACCGAAACACCTCCAAGAAACGAAGTCTCCAAAACCCCAGCCAATAATGCCCAAACTCCCCAAAACTCCCACAGCTGATTCCATCTGAGCGTGCTGGCAGACGTACTTTCGCCGACTGTCCTCCATGAACTTCGGTGCTATGGTTTCGGTGACCATGTTGTGCCTGGGTTAGTGGCTTGCTTGTATGGGGCTCTATCACGCCATTATGTATAGACGTTCGAAGAGTTCCATACGTTCTTCGAGGATTCAATTCAGGGGCCGTGAAGATACATCTCAATGGACTTTGAGGGTATGTTATCATAAAGCTATATAGCCGGCAGCTCCAGTAATGACAGTCTGACAAAACCGCCTCCAAATACACCAGGGAGATGTGAGAGGCGGACCGAAACCCTCACTGTGAACCCTGATGGAACCCCACATTAAGAGGTTGTGGTCGGGTCAGTGGAAGGTTTTAAGCTGCTAGCATTGAGGCTTTAAGATTTACGGAACGGACGATCTGAGGTTGTGTTGTTTGCTTTTCGAAGGCTTCGGGATGCGGATGCAACACTTTACCCCCAGGGTCCAAGTACCTAATAGTCATACACTCTCCAGAGTCTTAGTCTACATAACCACTACTATCCTAAAATCGAGTACCTAGTTATTGGGTTCTTTGGACCCTTGGGGTACTATCTGCAAGTTTAGGGTTCAGTGACGGTTAGTGGGCTCGGAAAGCCTCAAACAAAGAATCCAAGCCCCCAACGATCGACTCAAAACCCTTCGAGAACCTGCAGAACCTGGTGCGGAGTATTGAGGTATTAAAGGGTTGAACCACTTGGGAGAGGGTCCTATGAACAAACGAAACCCCCAAGCTCAAATGAAGCAAACCCTAAGGCTCCATGTTCCCATATAGTATTTACTTGGGCCTTAAAGTACCTATGTAGGGACCCCTTTAAGGCTTAAGTGTCGACAGTAAACTAGACCCAAGAGTAACCCAGGCATAAAAAGGATGCCCTTTTTGGTTTAAAGGGGCTTATAAGGGAACCTGAACCCTAAAAAAGGGAATAAGGGCCTACTCTGGGTCCTAATAAAGGTACATGGAGCCTTTGGGAAAACACTCCGAAGACCGACGTGTCTTGCTCGGATCCCCGGGGGCCACTGCAGCTGCAAGCACTGCAAAGGTTTAGGGTTTAGGGTTTAGTTGTTTGCGCTTTAGGGTTTAGGGGTTTAGGGTCTAGGGTTTTGGGGGGTTTGAAGTTTAAGGTTTAGGGTCTAGGGTTTAGCAAAGGTGCCGTCTTGAAAGCTGCTCTTTGATTTGGGCAGATCCTTGGATGCCCATCAGCAGGCGAACCTCTGCGGGACCCAGACAACTCACAAGGTCCTGCTATGCCGCTCTTCCTGGGTTTCTTGGCAGCCTGTGCAGGGCGTGGGCCGCTGGCCCTACTACCCAATGCGCGAGCGGCTTGGCCGCATACGCTCTCAGTTGACCAGGTGGCGCTGCCAACTGCCACGTGAAGTCACGGTGGACATCGCGACCTTAAACCCTAAACCCGAAACGGTGTTTTTTAAATCTTTTTTGAAATTTTGATATCCCCTTTACTTTGCCTTAAAGCCGTCTAGGACTCGTTCGTGAGCCCTGGAAGCCCGGCGCCCGGGCCCCCCGAGACCCTATGAGAGCTTCCGGGAGCTTCCGCTCCTTACCCAGAGCCCCGGGAGGATCTAGAAAGTAGATCCCCTAATTTGGGGCCCTATACTACTAAGGGTACTTTATAGGAACCCCCATTAAGGGATCTACTTTCTAGATCCTCCCGGGGGTCTGGGTAATTATGGGTACTCTCCACCCTAAGGCAGCTCCTTTTGGGCTCCACCTTATAGTCTAAATCTGAGCTCCAAAAAGATGGGGACTTAGGGTAGTGTGGTTTAGGGTTTAGGGTTTAGGGCCTGAAAACCAAGCTTGGAAATGTGAAGCTCCAGCACTCGGCCCCAACGTGGCAAACAACTTCAAAAGCGCACAATCCAGAACTCGAAGCTATTCCTGGACCCTAACGAACCTACCTTTTTCAGCATCTTAGCACATATATGTATATGCATACAGATACACACACACACATGCACACACACAGAGACACATTTATAAGTATAACTATATAACAGCTATAAACCTACTTACAATGACGGACATAATCTTTGTATTTATATATATATATATATATATATATATGCATACATATCGCATATGGCAATTATAGTACAAAGGCCTAAGTAAAGAGGCAGGTTCTTAAGGGTGAAGGCATACCCTAATCCCGAACCTAAAACCACAAACCCTGAACCCGAAATTTCGCACGCTCGGCACTTCCTCACCGAAGCCCCACAGCCTGAACCCTAAACCGAAGCCCTAAACCCTAAGCCCTAAACCGAAGCCCTAAACCCTAAGCCCTAAACCGAAGCCCTAAACCCTAAACCCGTCCTGAATCCCAAACTCCGTGCTGAGCCCGAGGCAAAGTCACCAGAACCTTGAGGGGATTCTGTCGGACTGTTACGAGATTCGGCTTAAAGGCTCCATAGTCGTTCCGTTTCGGGTTCATATTTGGGGGTTTCTGTAGTAGGGTCCCCTATTTTCGGAAACCCCCATCTAGAATCCTGCAAGGTATTCCCCAAAAGGAACTATTATGAAGCCTCGCGGTAGGGTCTAAAATCTAGATTCAGGGCTCCTTGAGGTTAGGGCTTGGGGTTGACTAAGAGTTCGCGGCATGAAGGGTTTTGGGAATGAGGGCCTAGGGTTCACGGCTTGAGTCTTGCGGAGGTCTTGAGAATATTCGGCCCTGCAGAGGGAACTAAAACCGTGTTGAACGCAAGGTTCGACGGAAAACCGTGGCTATGTGACTGTTACAAAACATTGAGGACCCTACTCCGGCACAGCGGAGATCCTCAATACAGATCCCTTATATCCACGCTCCCACAAGGGAGTTTTCGAAAAATAAGGGGCACCTTGGTGTCCTTATCATAAGGATCCTACTACTTAGGATACTAGATTAGGGTCCCCTATTTTCGGAAACTACCATATCCACACTCCCAAAACCTTAAACCACGATGCAGCCCGGACCCCGAAGCCCTTAAACCTTGAAACCTTAGATTGCCAAGCCCCTCATGAATGCTAGGGTTTAGGGTTTAGGGGTTTAGGGTTTAGGGGTTTAGGGATTAGGGTTTAGGCTTAAAGTTCAGACCCTGACCACCAATCCCACACATTCCTCGAAGTCTGAGCTATATATGATCCCGGTTCTCGGTTCACCGACCCCCCCCCCCCCCCCCCCCCCCCCCCCCCCTTCCCCGCCCAATGGTATCCCCCCCCCTCCCACGCTCCCCAAGCCGAATCTGCGTGTGACTGTGCAAGCTTTTTCCACACGAGGGCTCACACGCCAAGCAGACCCACGCAGGAAACCCAAACCACACCACAGGGTAACCAGCCTAAGCAGACTCACTCCCGAACCACACCACACCACACCACAGGGAGGGGGAAGCAACCCACAACCACACCACACCACAGGGGGGGAGGAGGAACCATTGGGGGGGGAGGGGGGGGGCCGGCCGAACCGGGATCATATATGGGCGTTTCGGAAAATTAGGGGTGCCTTATTTGTGGTCCTTATAATCATGCAGAATCCTAGGGGTACTATAGTAGAGTCCCTTCTTTTCGGAGACTCCCATATGGCCACTGCATCCTCGAACGCCCTTAAGTCTGTGAGATGCTAGGATTGGGTTTTGGTTGAAACTAAGGGTTTAGGATTTAGGGCTCTACGGGGCGTGGTGTTGATTATAGTTTATGCCTACCTTAATTGTTAAGCACACGATATTGGGGTCTCTGGTAGGTAGATGATTCATGAGCTTGGCAAAGTCTGAACAACTCCCCCTGTCCAACCACAACAAGGGCTCTGTTGCGAGCCACCCCCAAACCCCCGTAATACTAAACCACCAAAACCCAATACCTTACACACTATACACACTCTAAGGCCTAAGATAAGCAGTGCTAAACCCGAAGCAAGCCCGGGCCCTAAACACTCTCTGCGGTGGGATTCCCCGCCGTGAAGGCCACAGCTGGATGCTTCGTGCCGGGACCCGTCGTCTTGGGAACCGGCAGCCTGGAACACCGCTTTGGGAGCTTACGGTTTAAAGGTTTAGGGCTTTAGGGTTGTGGGTGTTAGGGTTTTAGGTTTGGGTTTTTGCGGTTTAGGGCTTTAGGGTTTTAGGGTTTAGGGTTTTAGGGCTTAGGGTTTCACGGCGTTCGGGGGGCTAGCATTTAGGGTTAAAGCTGAAGCAAAGCTGCATACTCAAAGCAGATGCTAAGACTTCTAAGATAGGGCAATGGTAGGTATGCATGTATTACATGCGTGCAGACCTTCTGAAACTTGGCGGACTTCTGAACCCCTCCTAAAAGTTAAACTTTTAGCCCCTTATTATATTTCATATAGAAACCCAAAAAGTTAAAGTCTAAAGAGCCAACCAGAAGAACGCCGAGGACATCTTTGCCGGGATTCATGCTCAGACCCTGGTCCGTTCAACACCTGCCTATTCATTGCAAATGTATACTCCTTCCTAGCTTTGCTAGGATACCCAGTAACCTAAGAATAAAAAGGCCTCTCTTTTTGGTATTGGGTAACTTCAAAAGGAACCTAGGACTAAAAAAAGGGAATAAGGGTACTACTGGGCATCCTAGTTTGCTAGGTTTTGGTTAATCACCTCGGAAAGCCCCGAAACCCCTTAGAAAAGCCTCCAAGCTAAATTTTCGGAGGCGTCAAGAACTTGTGATCAACCCACTTACAATACTTGCAGTCCCAAAAAAGCCTACTCAGGTGACCCCCCCAAATCCGATTCTATCTGTTCAAGCACCTTCCTTGTTTAAGTCCAAAGACTCATTGAGAAAGAACCCATGCAGGACACAAATCCCTGTAAAGGCCACGTTCTAGCTATGAGAGCCTATCTTTTAGAACCGAAAACCCTGAATCACTGAGTTTTTATCCCTGAGTGCCCTAAACCCTAGATCCTTTTCCTAAATCCTACTGTAAACCCTAAATCCCTAACCCTATAGACCTATAAACCCTCAACCCGAAATCCTACACCCGAAATCCCAGCTCCTAAAACCTAAAACTATTATCTAAAACTCCTCGGTTTTGGGCCTCTGCACAGCGGACAGCATCTCTTTAAAGGCCACCACATCCGAGATCTCCTGCATGCACGGCCACGGGGTCTCGTTTTACACGCAAAAAGGTGGCCACAATATGCATGGTCTAGCAAATAAGCAGGCATGCATGGCATACAGAATGGCGTGATATGTAGTATGATATATTTCGTGCATACAGTTGGAAATGTGCATGCCCCTCATGTTATCTATGTGATTCACAAGTTCACAATAACTCCGTGCTTGAACAACTGATCTGCAGACCTGTGCTACACCTAGGTTACCTTGCTGTGTGCGAGGCCCCTATTCTGAACCCTTATAGTAGCCCTCATAGTAAACCTTATAGTCCTTTAATAGAACCTTTATGCATTTTGCAGGGTACCTTATTCCTTTTATTAAGGGCAGGGCGCCTTATGGGGTTTTAACATGCGACCGGGGGCCCAAAAAGCAGCTGCCTCTGGGACCGACCTATGCTCTCCTTCCCAGAGAGCCCAATACCCCTTAATTAAGGAATATAGCTTAAATCATAATATGAAGCCCTATATAATTTAAGCCATATTCCTTAATTCAGGGGTATTGGGCTCTCTGGGTTAGCAGCTCCTTGCTGGCCACAAGAACCACCACCACCACCACCACCACCACCACCACCACCACCACCACCACCACCACCACCACCACCACCACCACCACCACCACCACCACCACCACCACCACCACCACCACCACCACCACCACCAATTTTTTTGGAATCATGTACTATTTCGAGGACCCAAAAACGGACTAAGCCTAAGCATGAAGTCATCAAGGTAACCCCCTTGCGAAGGGGCGAAGTTCCATTGCCGATGCGTACTTGCACTTATGTGACTACACCCTGAACCCGCGAAACCTAAACCCTAAACCTTATAAACCCGAAACCCCTAAACCCTGACCCCTATACCCTAACCCCTAAACCCTGAACCCCCAAACCCTGAACCCCTAAACCCTAACCCCTAAACCCCTAAAACTGGGTCGTTCACCCAACAAGTTAAAGGCCGCCCGAACAAAGCCCAGGAAGTATTCTAGCTGTAAGTTTTTCTGTCTGGTTCATTCTTGCTGTTTGCGGTATCATAGCTTAAGGCTTACCCTAAGGGTCCAAGTACTCCCCATTATAGGACTTCGGGTCCATTTTGGGTACCAAAAACCCTTAATAAGGACTACTTAGACCCTTTAGGTTAAGAGCTAGTTAGGGTTCATCACATTCTAACACTGGCGGTTTTCGGGGTTGGCAGTCTCCTGCTTCATCGTCGCAGTGGCCGTGGTGCAGTTGACGGGGTCCTGGCCGAAAGCTTCTTACACATCTCCGCAGACTGTTAAAAGTATCCCTAAGGATGGGGGGTCCAAGGGTGGGTCAATAGCCCTAATTCTCACTAGTACTCCCTAAGGTTCCCTCAGAGTGCCCTACGGATTCCTTGTACCCTCCCCCCTTGAACCCCCTTCCCTTAATGAAGGATCCTGCAACAGACCTGAGCCCCCAAACCCTTAAAGGACCGTCCTCGATCCAACGCGAGTACTCGCAATGAAACCGGTGCAGGCCTTTGGGCAAAAACCTAAGAATTCATGTGCTCATGTAATACATACTTTGGCCTTGAAGTAGTCTGTATATAGGTAAGTTGGAGAGAAAGTAAATGTGTGTGTGTGTAGAATATACATATATATATATATATATAATAAAGACAGATAGATAGATAGATAGATAGATACACATGCAAGGATATAAGTTGGGCACGTGCCCTGAAACCAGTGGGTTTGAGGTGTTGGAGCTCAACATCCCAACCCGATGCCTCGAAACCCTGAACCCCAATGTAGGGGACTTAATGATGAAAGCAGGGTTGTGGGGCATGTCATGCTAGAATTACGGGAGTAAGCAACCCTGAGCCCTACACAGCGCCGGGCCGCAATATCCCCAGAGACTCCAATATCCCTTAATTAAGGAATATACCTTAAATTATAGTAGGATCCCTAATATGATTTAAGGAATATTCCTTAATTAAGGGGCTTTGGAGGCTCTGGGTCCTGACTGCTGGCCAAAACTTCCCCTGACCGGCTTTCTGCTCTCGTCCCTTTTACCTGTCAAACCACCTTCTCAACTTATTGACGGGCTTGCTCTTAAACCAGATGGCGTTGATTTATCATCCCTCAATGTCGAGTAGGACTAAAGTTCAGCATAGTTGGGTGTCATGCGCGGACGGTGTGGCTCCGGATCTTGCAACACACTTTGGGCACAGGGTTTCTAAATCAGGTTCCTACATTAAATTAGCCTCACACAGATGATTGCTCGCCATCTCTTCAGGATACGCTCATGTCGCGATTTCGTGTCTACTCTCTGCAAGTCACACCCAACACTCCAAAGGCTGCTTTCCGAAATTCCGAGGCCCGAAACCCGCTGTCTGAAAGCCCCCGGAAGAGCTCCTGTAAAGCCAGGCAAGGTTCAAGCTCATTCATGTGGGCCACAGCGGCGCCACACCTCGTCAGGGTACCCCAGGCGCCCGAAACCTTGAGCCCGAAACCCTTAACCTCTAAACCCTTAGCTTAAACCTTCAAACCTTAAACATTCAAAAACCTAAACCCCAAAACCTTGAACCCTTGAACATCCATGGGCGCCATAGCAGCTCCTTTTGGGGCTCATATTTAGAATCCTACAAGGTAATTAATCCCCGAAAGGAACTACTCTGGGGCCCATGGGTAAACCCACAACCCCTAAAACCGCAGAAGGGGCTCATTGGGTTGAGGCTCGAGGCAGCGAGTGTGACCAAGCGCCAAGAGCTGGCTAAAAGCGCTCAGGGTTTAGTTCAGGGTTTAGGGTTTACGGTAGGGCTTTTTTTAAGTTGAAGTGACATGTGCCCGTGTAGAGTTTAGGGTTTAGGGCAAGTACCTATAGACAGTTATACTTACAGCACATCCTAACCATAAACTAGGTACCCCCAAAAGGGGGTGGGATATGACCCTCGCAACACGATTACGGCAAATAAAGTTTCACGACCACAGTAGCCCCAAAGGGTCCGAAAACAAAGATCGCATACATCTGCTTACATATGTATAAATAAATATCTCTCTCTACATAATATATATATATATATATACAAACATATACCGATCTATCTATGTATCTATCTGTCTATCTATCTATACAGGGCCAAAAAATCTGACACATTCACAAACCCTAGTACTTAGCCTTAGACCCTTTTGGGTTGGGGACTGGGACATACCCTAAGGTTTCGTAGTAGTTCCTTTGTGGGATGACCTTATAGGGTTCGAAGTATGAACTAACCCCCAAGAAGGGGCCTTAAGGTACCCTGTGAGCTTTAGGGCCACGTGGGGGATCAAGGGTTCTGGTACTCGGAGAAGGGGACTCGGGTCTGTGCATCTATTGACTGCAGGACAGGGCCAGGCGGGACTGCCAAAGGCAGTTCCGGGATTGGGGCGAAACCCAGGCTGGAAACCTCTAATGAGAAAGTGCGAAAAGCGCCAAGCTTGCAAGGGCGAGTCAAACTTTTTATGGCAGCAGGCCGCTGCCAGATCACGCCCCCATAGGCTTCGCCGATGGCGGTCCTCGGATTGGAGTCTCCTACAGAGGTTGAAGGCTGAAATGACACTGTGTGCTGCCTGGGCTAACTTGCAAGGAGGGCACGCACCAGGCTCGTCGTCGTCGCAGCCTTCGGCGGTCCCCACCCCCGTGCCACGCTGCGCTCCGGGTGCCATCCCTTGGCCATTTCGGTGCTGATGCTGTGCTGGACGTCCGGCTTGCAAAAAAATCATTGCGTGAATACAGCGCCGCCGAGTCGCTCGGGTATTCAGGGCCTCAGGGCTTTGAAGGGCCCGGAAGGGTGCACAGAGGCTTTATCCCTTCAAGGGAAGCCTATAGAACGCTGCAAGGAAACCCTATAGATCCTTGTAAGGCCTTAGGCTTCAGGCTTGAAGTGAAAACTCTGAGACTTCGAATTGAAGCTCCCCTAAACCCTAGAACCCTAGAACCCTAAAACCCTAAAACCCTGAACCCTAAACCCTAAAACCCTAAAGCCCTAAACCCTAAACCCTAAACCCTAAAACCCTAAACCCTAAACTCTATAAACACTAAACCCGAAAACCCCGAAACTCTAAGCTCCAAACCCTAAACCCTCAAACCCTAAACCCGAAAACCCTAAACCCTATAAGCCCTAAACTCTCTAAACCCTAAACCCCAAACTCTACACACCCAAAACTCTGCACTCTGAACCCAGAAAACTCTAAACTCTAAACCCTGCTTTCTATAAACCCCAAACCCTAAACTGCACAGAAGTCTGGCAGTTGAGGCCCAGGCTGCGGACCGGATCAGAAAACCTGCCGCAACTTCGCTGGATGGTAAAGTGGACTTAGGTTTTACCCATAGGACCCATAGTAGTTCCTTTCTGGGATTGCCTTATAGGATTCAAAAATGAACCACAAAAAGGAACTACTATGGGGCCTTAGGGGTATAGGGTTTATAGGGTCTCTAGGGTCTATAAAGGGATAGGGTTTAGGGCTTCAAGGGACTGTAAGGATTATAGGGCTGAGGGTTTAGGGTTTAGGGTGTACCCAAAGTTAATGCGTCAAAGGCTCCAGACGATACTTCAAGGAACATTCCTGGCTTGATTCGGGGACTGCGGAGTCTCCATGTGAGGGTTTAGGAATTTTTGGCTTTAGGGCTCAGGGCGTAGAGTCTAGGGTTTTGGAGTTGCAGGGTCTGAAGAAGTAGGACGTAATAGGGCCAAAACTAAAATAGGGTTCCTTCATTATAGGGGCTCCTTTAAGGGCTTCTGTAGGGGCCTTGATAATTAGAATAGGGCTTTTGGGGGGCCCATTATGCTATAACTGTGATAAGGAACCCCCAAAACAGCCTTGGTAATTGTGAAGGTTTCGGAGGCTTGTTCGAAAATTCCTGGGCCCCAGACCCCTCAACCCTGCACTAGAAACCCTGTCTCCAACTCTACTACCCTCGACACGAGGGCCCCCAATCCGCACAGCCTTACAGCCACTGAACTTCTCTGCTGCGAATGGCCCTGTCGCTAAACCCCTAAGCCCGTGACCCCTATATCCCTAAACCCCTATACCCCTGCCCTACCTAAACCCCCAAACCCGAAACCCCCATAACCCTAAACCTCAATAAAGGTCCTAAACCCCCATACCCCATAAACCCGTAAACCCCCAAAACCCCTAAACACGAAGTATTCCGTGCCTGTCCCAGTCCTTCTCGTACTGCCGGGCTCAGCACAGGCCTGATCTCGCACCGCTGGAAAGTGACTACTATAGGTGCCTTAAAAATTAAGGGCCTCAACAATTAGAATAGGGTTTGGGGTCACATCTGATTACAATTATCATGAGGAGCCCCCAAAATGGTCCCTCTAGAAGACGTGCCACAGAAGAGTCGGATGACACTCAAACAACAAACCCTAGACCCTAAATCCTAAACCTAGAGGGTTACACCCTACCCCTTTTCTTCCAGGTACCTACACTGCGATGTAACCGACCAGAACCATAAAACTTGGTACCCTGAAAACCGGGGCAGGATATGGGTGGTTGTCAAAATTATGGTCCCTTTTTCGGGTACCCTAAATATTAGGTGCTGTGTTATATTCAGGACCCCCCAAAGGGGACCCTAATTTTGACAACCACCCATATGACCCGACCCTGGGCCCCTACACCCAAGCCACCCTCAAAGCCTTCGCAGACCCCAAGCGGCCTGATGTAGGAACCTGATTAAGAAACCCTGGGCCTAGAACACAACAACACAAAACATAGTAGGATTCATATATGTATAAGGAGCTCTAATCAAGGCCCGAGGTTTCTTAATCAGGTCCCTACATTATACCATCCTGGCTGGCATCCTCCGACTAAACCACCCGAACTCAAAAGCTCCAAGCCGGGAAAGAAGGCACACACACACACACACACTCAGTTTACCTACCCTCAAGACCTCATAGCAGTTCCTTGTGGGAATACCTTAGTGTATAGGATTCTAAACATGAAGCACAAAAAGGAACTACTATGGGGCCTTAGGGTAGGCCCCAGAGGTACCAAACAAGAAGTGTTGGCGCCGCGGTAAATGGAATCAACACAAGACTGAACATGGACCCTGAGTACAAGCATCCGTACTAGAAGGACTATCTACCCGAAGATGCCCAAAGAATGACTTTTAATTTCAAGCACGCACCATCTAGAATTCCTATATAAACTTTTCAGAATCCTATAAGGTACGGAAACCCCTATGAACACCAAACCCTTGTTACGCGCGTCGAATAGCTTTACTCTAAGAATCCCAGTCGCTGCGTGAGGCTCCGGAAATGGCGCGTGCAGCCGCCGCAAAAAGTGGCGCCACCAGCGAGGATGGGGACGAGGGCCTTTACTCTTGTTCTTTGAAAGGGATCTATAGGGATACCATTATTCCTATAGTTTAGGGTCCTTAAGGTAACTTACTACCCCAATAGGCCACAGAAATAAAAGGTTAAACATTCCGATTCCTACTAAGCTATAAGAAATCAAGAAGTTTAAAGGGCAGGTATTGGGGATCTAAGTTCAGGGTTTTGGATGGTTGAGGGCTTAGGGTTCAGGGCCTCGAGAGGTTTCCGGCATGCGCTTAACCGGTTCCGTGAAGGTGATATATATATATATATATATATGTATGTATATATATATATATATATATATTATATATATATATATATATATATATATATATATATAGAAGGGCTACGGAAAGGGCTCAGGGTCTCGAGAGTTTTGGGACTTTGGGTTTAGGGTTTGGGGGCCCCTAGAGTATTGGGATCTGAAATAGTTAGAAGAGGGTTCCTGTGGCCGATGCTGTTAACGGTTCTATCAGGATGATTCTAGTCTATGTCTACTACTCTCTCCTTCAATATCCGGGCCCAAAAAAGTTTAAACTTTCTAAGATAGACCAACTATATAAGGCCAAAAAGTTTAAAGTTCCCCAATTGGCTATCTAAGACTATAAGAGAGGGTTTGGGAAGTTTTTTAGGGTTTAGGGTTTACTTTGAAGCCTCTGACAGTGGCGCCTTTGCAGCCACGGGCTTATACGTCAAATGTGGCTCTTTCACTGCCAGACGCTGATCTGAGTCTGCCTCGGTCCTAAACCCTAGACTGGCCCTCAACCCCAAACCCTGAACCCTAAACCCTAACCCCAAGCCCTAAACCCCCAAGCCTTAAACCCGAAGCCCTAAACCCCCAACCCTAAACACCCAAGCCTTAAACCCTAAGCGCTATAAACCCCAAACTCTAACCCCTCCAAAGCCGAGGACCCTGGGCCCTAAACCCATCATCAGCGGGCGAAGTCGGACTCGGACTCGATGGTCCTTCAGGCGGCCTTGTCCCATCAGCCTCAGTCTGACCACGATCCTTGACGACTCCTTGGGCGGCCTTCACCCTGAATAACCTACCTTTTTAGGGTTCCTTACTATGATTTCCTTTTTTAA